TCCCTCCCTCCCTTTCTTTTTCGGTCATTTTTTCCCTTTCTTTTCCCGATTTTGTTTATCTACATTGACTGACTGAAGTTTACTGTTATAACATGAGGTACAAGAGTCATAATACAAATACACTAAACATAAAGCAAAAGAACCCCCCAATTTGCTTTATGTTTAGTGTATTCGTATTATGGGAGCCTCAGTCTGGGAGGCTGGCAGTTTTGCTGGGAGACTAGCAACATTAGGTGGCTCCAACAGAGGTTGAGGACAGTCCTGTCTCCATTTTTCAGTGTGGGCAGACTGATAAAAATATGGGCAACTCAAAGCAATTGGGTTTATGCACACCCTATGATGCCATCCCATAAGATGCAGCATTAGGACATTATGCTACCACCACGGCCTCCACGACCATTTAAGTAGAGATGGCATCATGTCGGCCAATGACTAGCAAGACTGGTGAGGACAGAGAAAAAAAGGAACAAGGCCAGCCTGTTCTGGGGCCAAATTCTGTCTTGGAGTATTGCCTCCATCCATACATGCAGTCTGGCCTCTACATTTCTCTTCCTAGACCCTCCTCTGGATCTTTCTGCCAAGAGAAGTGGGGCAGGTCATTCAAGCAAGGAGACTGTTCTGGTTTAGGGGTTCTGTTTGAAGAACACAAAAGGCCTTCCTGGCCCTCACACTGACCCCTCTCCAGCTCTAGGCTATTCCTCTTCTTCCAAGCATCTTCCACGCATCTTCCAAGTCTGATATTATGTTTTATATTTTCCTGTTCTATTTCTTTTTGAAAATGATGAAAATAGGGGGAGGGGGCAAATAATATTACAAGCCTATCATGTTTTTTTCCTGTTTTGCTGTTCTCTCCCGCGATATAATTTTAAAAATTAGCAACTTTGTAAGTCTTCCAAGATTATTGTGTGGATTACAAGAATAGGCACGTAGGAAAAATGAACATTAACTAACAGAATAAGTACAGAGCTTTTGGCAAGTGGGAGGCAGAAAACAAGGTAAGTACTTTCTTTCAGGAAAAAACTCAGGGTATTGTCATATCTTTCTGCTAGAGAAATGGGATGAAGAGCGTTTTGATGAAAAGAAATAGCACATACAACACAGACATCAATGGCACAGCTTCCAGATAAACCAAGAGCATTAAGCAATGCCTTTGATATAGTGCCGGGTGTAATGAGCACATAGGATTAAGTACTGCAAATCCTTCTAATTAGTTGTTTCAACAGCTTCATAAAGCTGCAAAGCAATTATGGAGCTTCAGAAGTAAAGTCTAGAAATGGGGTGATTTTGTATCGACTTCATGCAAGGCTTTTGCACATATCAACAGTTCTGCCAACAGATCCACGATGTACAGCCTTTCTCGTGCCAAGAGCCACAACTGGTTTGAAATTAAGTTTAAAGCTGCTTTAAACAAAATTCTAGTTAACATTACATTAATTAAAGTTAATATGGTTACCAATAGATCTTGATAATTTTCCCTTTCTCTCACATTAAAAATTAAAATTAAGGAACACGGTTTGGGGAGGGTTGTGGTTCTGCAACTGGAGGCTACATGCGGCAATCTGAGCTCCCAGCTTCATGATTCATGGACTACACTGAAGGGATAAACAAACATGAGCTCAGTTTAAGCCAGTAGAAAAGTTCCCAAACTTTTTTGACCAGGATACCCATTTGGAAAAGAGCCTTAAGCAGCACCATGGCGAATTCTACTTTCTCCAGTAAAAGAGGCCTCACCATTTGTTGAACCAAGCCATAATAGGCCAGTTCAAACATCATGCTCAGTTAAAAGCAAGCAAACTATGTTAAGGCACAGCACTGTTGTGTGACTCAAGATACAGGAGGATAGGGGTCCTGGAAGAAGGACTATGTAATAGATGTCGGTGTCATGACACACATGAGGTCCTAATGCCTTCTATCAGCCACCCAGGCATACAAGCTTGAACCATAAGAGGATTTCCTTGGGAATAAAAGTCCTTGGGGAAATACAACAGTAGCAAAAAAGAGTAAGCAAGCAGGTATTAAATAAATAAATGAAATCTCCCTACCTTTTATTTTCCCCTTTTTATTCGAATACTGTACAACTGTACAAAACAGGAGGAGGAAGGAGTATTAGATATGTTCACAGCCTTGAGTTATTTATAAAAATAATAAAGGTGGGATAAAAAAAATCTTTAACAAAATTTCGAGTAGCTTCCAGTTCATTTTATTTCTTGTCTACAGCCACCCATCTCAACCAAGTGACTTAACTGATGCAGAGCTTGTTTTTTGCTTCCAAAGCCGACATTAGATTTGTAAATGTAAAACCCACCCCCACCCAGTTGGAATTTCCCTCCAGGAAGTAGTTTTAAGGAATTACACATTCATTTTAGTGACTGAACTTTATGCGAGGAAACCATCCAGTGTCTTTCTATCTGAAACTATATGGCAAGCCAAAATACATACTGAGTTATGTAGATAAGCAGTTGCCTGGTTCTTTATCACAGATTCACCTGTTTGCTGTTGTTGTTTTATTCAGATCACTTTTCCAGAGTCACAAACTACCTGGATAATTCTTACCCTCCACATCGTGAGACCTGGGATGAAAAAGTGGTTACCGTTTAGAACAGAAAAGCAAAGAAAGTGAATACAGCACACACCACCAGAAGCTAGGAATGAAAACAACATTACTGGATTTCATTGTATCAACCATTTTTGGATGGACCAGTTTCTGCCCCTCACCAAGGGGTCTTTGTAAAGCTTCTGAAAGGAGTGTTTATTCCCATACTCAGAGTGAAACAAACTCTTAAGGAATCTATTGTTGTCATGATGGATCTCTTAGCACTGTGGGTGATCCCTTACTATCATGACATTCCTCAATTGTCCTGATTAACCACACAAAGAAAAACAAAGACTTGGAAAATAAAAGGGTCATCAGTCTTCCATTGATGTTGAGAGCACACTGCTTGGAAAGGCATGTTTTTCGCTGCCAGCTGTTAAACTGTGGACAATGTAACTTCATGGACACCAACTAGAAGCAAGCTGTGTCCTCTTCACACTTCCTCTGGAAGAATCTTTGCTCAAGAAGTTAGTGCTCCTAAACATTCCAATGAGGCCCAGGCTTAGAGACACTTCAGTTCCTACTTTTCTAACAGCCAAGGTGCAAGAGACATACTCCTTACTGAATGCCACGCAAGAAGCTGAAGCCCAGAAGACAGAGGAATCCCTTTCCTCAGCTGTGGCATTGCTTGTTGTGCTGATCCTTCTCTTCTGCCTGGTCTCCGTGTCCCTGGCAACCTACTGCTTTCATAAATGGAAGCTGAGGAGCAAAAGACTGCAGAAAGCTCATGAAGAGTATCAGAAGGACTATGAAAAAAGTGGGCACCAAATTACATCAAGACTTGTTTAACAAGAGGAAGCAAAACTAAAAGCAAATACGCCAACCTAAGCTAACTATTATATTTCTGCATTAATAAGAAGAAAGCTTGAAGATGAGAGCTTGGAAGATACCTATGGACATTATCAATTGAATAGCATATCATATTGCTTTCCTAATTGGGACCAGTCGTTTACTGAGATTTTCCTACTGTCTCATTCTTTATTTAAGAAAACATACCATAATTAGATTGTAAAGCTACCTTTACTAGCACAATCTGCAGGAAGCAATATTCAAACATCCAAAAGCATAACCCCATTGTTTGTGATACGGTTCCTCTGGAAAAGCCAGCTTGAAAGTAGCCTCTCCCCCCCCCCCACGATTTCCCACTGATATCAAAGAGCTTAAATCTGAGCTGCTGAAAAAGAGCAGCACAACTCTGAAATCCATATAAATCCTCTGGTGTAACATCTTCAAAGAAAATCCTAATTTTTCAAAACAGTAGAAAATAGTCTGATCAAGGGCAGTGGGATTTTCATCCCATAAAGTACCCACCACAAATGCTTTCTAATGCAGATTTCAGCTGAATTGATTGGAATTTCACTTTAAAAACAATAGAAACAATTTCATGTATAGGTGCCAACGATAGATTTCACTGCAGGTGGTAAGGTAAAGGTGAGGTGAAACACCTCTCTCTTAGGGAAATACTTACTACAGGGTGAAAAATAGTTATTCTTCCATCATTTCTTGGGGGGAAATGTGCCTCTACATAGTAAGAGAATGAACTTTTTGCTGAAACATGAAAACCTTTCTAATGTTTTGTTTTGTTTCCCCACATTTGTAATAATTATGGAAGAAGAGTTAGAGATCTCAACTTGCGGTAGAAATCCTATATAAAGCCTATGATTGTAATAATGGCACCAGAATTCAGCAGAAAAGGGCCCTCGAGGGGAACACTAATAGGCTTCTTTTTGACATCCTATGGCTGGATACAGAGAAAAAGGCAACAATACTCACAAATATAAAGGGATTTGGGGGTTGTATTTCAAATGGCCAATGTACATGGCTCATGGAAAACCAATTTTGAAACAGAAGTACAAAGGCAGTTATTAAGAGGCACCAGAAGGTATCCTCTTCCATCCAAAGGTAAGAAAAGCCATCAAAAAGATATGGAGATGATAGATAGATAGATAGATAGATAGATAGATAGATAGATAGATAGATAGATAGATAGATACCACCTTTGGCTATTCTGATATACAAAAGGAATTAGTATGGCAGAGACAGACCACATGTGGTGGGTGGATACCCCATTGAACCCTTTGATTAGTTAGATGATGACATGTAAAACCTTTCAAAAATGGTGCCCTCAGTTAAATGGGGCTGATTTTTTTAAAATGCTATTTTTAATACAAGAACTTAAAAATAATATGCAAGGGAGGCACTACCTTGGAACAGCAATGGCCTTGCATTCATAGCAGCAGAGAGAATGCCCAAAGGGGCGTGTGCTCTTATTCACATGCAAGTGTAATCAACTGAAACCCTTACGATTTAGTTTTTTTTTTATTCTTCTTTTCTTGCCTAACCATATTTACAATTCCTTTTAACCAAGCTTATTTATAATAGCATGTTTCTATTTTCATGGCTTATTTACTTCACACTAAGAACAACAATTTGATAGGTAGCATATAAAAGTAATCCTTTTTAACCAGAATGTTGGATATATCATGAAAATAACTATATGTTTTTGTTATGTTTTTAAGTAGGTAGCATGCATATATAAACCTGCAACCATCCTGCTAAAATATATAGCTTGCTTGCAATTGCCATTAGCCGATGTAATGCACATTTTTCAATAAGTAGTGAAACTGTGAGAATACTTTACACCTTTTCTTCCAGAGAGGGGAGAAAGTGTCCAGTTTGAAAAAAGAAAGAAAAAAGAAAAAGAAAAACTGCTGAAAGAACTGAAAGAGACCGCTGAGAACAGAACATGGTTCTTAAGAATATCACAACAAGGAAATCATGGAATAGCCTTAGGAACCTCTGTTTGATTACTACAGAGATATTTTGGGGGGGAAATGTATTTATGGGTCATCCAGATGATTCTATGCAGGAACAAAACAATATAACTTTATTATTTAATAAATCAAAGAAGCAGTGAACTCTCATGCCTTTTTGCAAGAGATCATTCCAAGTTGTTTAGCAAGCCTCTTTGGTGGACCCACAGCATGACGGTCTCTCTGGAAATGAATGGGGGCAAAGGGTTCCCAGCCTCCAGCACTCCAGAATATGCCCACTGCCTTCATTTAGGCTTCTCCCACATAGACCATGAAGGACTATAAGCAGAAGAGTAGGCAGCTATTCCTTGCAACTAACTTATCATTGAGAGCTTTCAATAAAGCACAGACATTCCCAGGAAGTTCAAAGAAAATATCATGCTCAAAGAAAGACAGGTTTCAGTCAGGTATTATAGAAACAACCAACCCTACACTGCATAGGGTAAGCAGTGGCTGTTTATATGAGCCTCTCTTTCAGAATTCCTTCATCCTGGTTCAGGCAATTTCTCCATCTAGCCAAGGAAGACACAACTGGAGCTCCGAAGGCCACCTATGATTTCCTCAAAAGCCTTGGAACTGGCCCTAGAGACTTTACAAAAAATGCTATCAAATTCTCATTTTTAATGGAGATGTTTATGAAATTCTCAAGTCATGTGACACTGTTTAATAAATGTAATAAATTTGGATTAAATTGCATTTCAGCACAAAAATCAAAAGAAAGCCCCCTGGCATAATTCCATGACCAAGGGTAGCCCTTAAATTGTGCTCCCCTGATCTCGCTCAATGAGGTCTCCTCTGATCATCATCAGCCTCCTGGGTCTCATCATCTGCCACCCAGTCCTTTATCACTGGAGATGGCATGGGTTGAGCCTTGATCCTTTCAGACAGAAAGCACATGGTCCTTCTCTCCCATGCCATGATATGGGTGGAGCCCCGATTAGGGCCTTGAGCCTTCAAAGGCTAGACTCAGACCAAATCCCAGAAGTTCTAGGCAGGGACAATGAATAAGGTCAATGGAGACTGCAGACGCCCAAGGGCTGAGCACCTTTGGGTGTCAAAGGACACACTTAACATCATTTGGATGAGGGTTGAGGGCTGTAGAATGAATGGGTTCCTGTATCACAAATGTCAGTGAGGTTGGCCAGAGAACCTTTAGAGAACTTTTTGGTCTATCTGGTTTTATTTACCTGTGATATGCCTATTTTAAGGCTTAGAATTCAGCTTTCCTCAAAATGGAAGAAATCTGGACCTTCAGGTTTTCAGCAACCATAGCCAGCAAAACAGAACAATCATCACCACAACCTGTACTGTACAACGTATTTCCCCAACTCCGTAAACATTCAAAAGCACTCAGGCATTTTAGTCCAGTTGCATTAGCTATTTTATTCCTTCCTCTGCTTCAATATCCACAAACTGGCATTACTAAAGGAATATCACAGCTTCTTGTCTTGGAATCCTCAGAGGGATGGCTTAACGTCACTTCAGATTTGTCATTGTTTTCAGTAATATGAAAACATACTCAATTTTACTAGTTCTGCAGTTCCTTTGCAAGCCTCCCCACCATGCACCACCCCCTTTCCTTCTATGTGGGGCTCCAGCCTTCAGTTTAATCAGCAGCAGCAGACTGAGCTGAACTCCAAGAATTATATCCTTCCCTTGAAAATCCAGAAGGGTTTGTTTTTCTTACAGGCAGAAGCAACTATGAGCTGCTCCCAAATCCCCAAAAGAAACTTACCCCAAAACTTGGTGTTTATGGCTTGTCCCCACAGTAAGAAAATTCCCCTTTGTGATTTGAAAAAACATTATTTAGTTCGATAATCACATACAGCTCTGTTCTCCCTGGGACAGGAGGTAAAATTGGACTGGAATCCAAATTGTCATTATTCTCAATACTGTCACTGCTCAGCCTATAGAGATTCAGTCTCTTATTTTGTTTATTTGTTCCAAAATTCCCACAAGCAAAAGCTATTCTTTCCAACCTCTTTTGTTCAGTTCCTGCCATATATTCATGGGATCTTCAGAAAGCTTAGGAAGACTTTTATGTATTTCTCCAATGAGTGTGAGAGAATCCTAGAAGAAGAAAAAAACATGGTTAGGGAGTTCATACAACTACTACAATTCATACAACTACTATTTGCCCTTCCCACTGTTAACAAATTAGTGAGCCTCATGAAAGCCGGTGACATGTTCTCACTGCTAGGATACAGAAGAAAAGGGAGGTGGTTTTCATCTTTGTAGGTATGAATTAGGACGTGCCCATGTTATATTCCGCCCACGTTATAACAAAAAAATGCCACTGGGTAACCTCAATCCCATACCACAACAATAAAGGGCATTTCTACAACAATTCCATAGGGCCGCTTTCTTTAAAGTGACATCCTTCAGATGTGCTGGATTTCAACTTCAAGCTGGGGGGTTACAAGAACTGAAACCCAACACATCTGGAGGACTCCAGGAGTCTGGGGTTGTCACAGTGAACTAACAATGCTGAGATAATGTTTTGGACACTTAAAGACACTGTACAGAAGTTAAGTGCAATCATTAACATTACTTACTATATTTATATAAAAACACAGGTGTCATAAACCAGAACACGTCAAATTGTGGATGAAGGCAACATACAAATGATATAAATATGAGCTAGAAGTGATGCCTAACATGGTAAGCCCCATTAAACACTCAACCATTTATGAATGCATGAGCGTTTGACTCCAATTATTACTAAATGATCCATGGACAATGGGCTGGATCATGGGAGTTTTACTCCAACAACTGGATGCCTCACAGAGTGCCTATTTTTACAGAGGGTATTTCCTGGTTAAATAGCTTAAGCAAATGGAATCGCGCATTACACAAAACTGACCACCAGTCAGAAGAAAAAATGCATGGCAAAATTTCTCTGCAATCATTGCATGCCAACTTGCTAGTGTCTTGATTTCACTCAAAAGTTATGGATTTCTGGATTCCAAAGCTTAATTCTCAAGATAAAAAAATGCATCGGATACATTAATTTCATGTCCTTTGACAAAAATGCAGCTATAATCTGATTTGGAACACTGGATACAGGCCTGGACTGCCACAGAGAGCTTTTAAACATTTCCAAGGCTACCACATTATTCCACTGAACATTCTACTGCCTTTTTTTTCTTAGATGGAAATGCTGAAAGAGTAGGTCTACAGGCTGATTAAATTAGAGATTCAACAGAATCCAGAAAGAAATCAGGCTGACTTGGACAGATTCAAAATTAATCCAAATCAAAGCTGCCTATCTCTGTAGTAGGTCTAATCCAATTCTAAATCCTTCTAAAACTTCAGTAGTAATTTGGAGATATGCAGAGAGTATGTTTGCAAAAGCCCATATCTGGGGAACTTGGAAAAAAAATAAGGAAAATTCTGAACTAGGAAGAAAAAGAGGAGGTAGTGTTATGAAGTGATTGGCAGCTTTTAATCACGGTCAGTGGTTTTCTCAGCAAACTCTCAAATCATAGTGCTAAATAACAAAAACAACACATTGAATATTGACCCTGATGTTCTCTTTGTTCTCTGCCTGGAATATTAAAAGGGGTTTGGTGGATCTGTAGGACTTGGAAAGCTTTTGCATTAACTGCCTGGAAAATTTTGCTGGCTGTTGATGAAGATTCTAGAACCTGGGAGGGCTGTGAAATTATGCTCATTTGGTAAATATTCAAGTCCTTCTGCTCTACTTCATTTCTGACTTCGTTGCTTTTTGGAAACGAGTTTTGAACAGAGTTTCATTCATCATAACTGCCTACAATCTGGATTAGGCCAAGTCTATGATCTGCGTCATTGTCTTACAAATTAGTTTCTGCCTGGAATAAAAATATGGGGAGGAAGATAATACCAATCTTCTCCCCAAAATACAAGAGAGAAATAAGTGAAGGCATCACCTCTCCTGACAAGAGAACCTGAAAACATGCTTTCCATAAAACCACTGGCTATAATATTTTAAAATTATTCAGGTTTCTTTGTTAGGCATCTCTATTCCTTAAGTCAGATTTATACCAAGTGGCCCCAAAATAAATGGGGAAATAAGGATGGAAAATCCTTCCAACTGAACACAGAGCTTTGCACAAGCTCCCTGAATCAATTCGTAGGCAACCAATAAGCTTAGTCCATCAGAGAGATAAATCTGGATCACTGAGAAAGTATTTTGCAGGAAGAGAATTTGATTGACACCATTTGGTTTGTCCAAGGAAACCTCAATCTTGTGCTTTGAAACTGGGTGAGATCTGAAATCGCAGCTACCGTAAAAAAGGGTTGCCTTCTTTGCTATTCACTGAGGGCTACTTCCTAAGAGTAGCTGGAAAAGGCTGATTAAAAACATCAACTCACACTAAGCTGTTCTAGGAAGCTCTACTTTTAAAACTGGAATTAGGAAAATGTACTTTTGTATTTGGATTTCTTTCTCTTAAGAAAAAATCATGCAGAAATGTATTATTTGAAAGCAAGACCAAAGTAATAAAATGCGTTTGTGCTATTTCTTTTTTTTTTTTTTTTGGAGGGGGGTGGAAATGGAAATATCCACTGCAATCCTGCAAAAGTCTAATCAGAAATAAGACCCACTGAACTCAGTGGGAATGACTTATAAATAAACATGCTAAAGAATCAACACAATAATTCTGAAAAAAGAAGCTCCTGGACTAAATTGTTTTTTCTTAAATTATGGCTCAAAGTTATGGATTTTCTTTCCTTTTTTATTTTTTATTTGCTCCTGCTTCTCTTCAGTCCTGGAACTAACTCAAAACACATGGACACCTCAACCAGTCTAATGTTTTCTGAATCAGTAACTTCTCAAGAGTTATTTGGTAGCTCTTAAAAAGCTTGTTTGCCTGCTTACTTTGGTATACATATAGTCTTCCAGTTTCTCTCGAAGCAAAACGTTGTCTAATATAGTTTTCTTTCGACGGAGAAATTCAACTTTTGCAAACTCTGCTCTTTTCTTCATGCAAAAGGGGCATTGTGAAGGTTGGTGCATTTCAGTTTCTGCTATCTTAAAGGCAAAGAGAGAAAGAATATTTTAAAAAACGGTCTTCTTTGAAAACAAGAGTACAGAGAACATCTCAGGAGAAAGATATATACAGGTCCAAAGGTTTATAACCTGATAAACCTTCCAAAATGAGCAAAATAAGGAAACCAATTATTTTTTCCATGAAATAGCACACATTTTTCCTTCTGCCATAGCTTCTCTAGCAGCAATATCATAAATTTACTTAGCCGTATCTTTTGGAATCATCGTATTGCCAATTGTTCCTTCTGAAAAGATATTTTAAAACTCAACTTTTTTAAAAAGAGAAAATAACGTAAAGAGCTCCAGCAGCAAGCTTCATTAAATGTAACAGGGTTCACCAGATAACATTGGAAGAACATCACATACTACCTATAGTTCTTAAATTATTTTAGATTGAGAGAAGGGGAAGAGGTGTATATTACTCATCTCATTGATCCTATCACACCTCTGTGAGCAAGAGGCCACGGTGAAGGAAGATAAATCACCTTCTAAGGGCATTCCAACAGCTATAAGTGAATCTAAGCTTCTCCTAATTAACTAAAAAGCAGGACTTAGAAAATTATGATGGGACCAATTTTTACTTTCTTTTCAAGAATTTAGACCAATTCCCATCTCTCAGCCTCAGCTCCCTCATTAGTAAACATCTTCCTTCTGCAAGTGAAAATGTAGAACAAACCTTTATTATAACAACAATAGTTTCAGCTAAAGCTAACAACAGAAATGCTTTAAAAAATCCGGCCACCTGCATAAGTGAGAACCTAACAGTATTTTGCAAGATTATGTGATGGCAAACTAAAATAACTTGACTGACAGAAGAGTCTATTTGTTATACATGAAACATGCATGTATAACAAATGCTCAATTTTTACTTTGTCTTTTGCAATTTTGAAAAGTCAGCATCTGAAGAAATCTAGCGCCAGACTGAGGCTAATCTTCTATTGCAAAATAGCACAACATCTTGTAGGCAGCAAACATTTTTTTTCTCTTTATTCTAGAAGACTAATATGACTCCCATGTTATATTGCATAAAAGAACATTCTCATGTCAGTAATGTTACAGAGAGACTGAACTTTACTAGGGCCAGTCAAATCTTCATAACTCTTGAATAAAGATGATCAACACTTGGGGTTTTTCCCACCCTTCAGTCATTTGAAAAAGCGTTGTGATTCCAGTACCTTTTTCGCCATTTCCTTGATGTTTTTCAGATGAAGCCTGTTTACTAGCTCCCAAGGGACAGCAAAGTTGCAACCACCCGTCAGCTGCTTCCGTGAAGCCAACCTATGCCTCTGATCCTTATGGCTGCTCCTTTTCAATGGCTCTGAGTTCCTTTGATGACGGAGATGGCTAATCTTGCGGGCACAAAAGGAACGCAAAGCCCCCAGTTCTTCTTCAGGTACTTCAGAAATTCCTGGTAATGCTTCATCAGGGAGGAAAAAAAAGAAACGAAATATCAGATACTATCAGGGGGATGAAAAGGCTGACAGTCTTATTTCCAGTTACCAGGAATATAATGGTTGTTGTTACTGTATTTAAACTTACAGTAGCACTGCCTATGGAATAGCACATGTGGGGTCTGCAATATGTACAACAATCAAGGACAAAACAATACACTCCTTCAACAGCAGCAAAGCAATACCCCCCTGGCCTAAAAGAAAAGTTAGACATTTTGAAGAATAAAGAGTGTTTGACTGCAGAGCAGAATTTTGATAGTAAAGAGAAAACAGAAATACGGTCAACAGAAATTATCCACGATGCAGAGATTGGAACAGTTTTGGTCAAAGGCTTCGCTTTCATTTTTCACTCAAATGAGTCTAGCTTAAGCAAAATAGACGAAAGCGTTTAGAAAACCAGCTCTTTTAATCTCAGGGGCGGTGGGCAAGTTATTCGTCGTTAAGAAACAGATTTTGCCTGGTTCTGAAATTGTCCCGGGTACAGTAGGGTTGGACCTACCTCCCCCTGCCCCTTCAGATGGGTGATCATCCTACATTGAGGACAAGCAGGACCTCCTTTCACATGTCTCCATTCAGCGCATCGATGGCAGAAGGCCAGAACACAGAGGGGCAAAGCGGATACGGGGAAACACAACAGCCTTCTCCCCCGTTTGGACCTTCTCTCCAGACTCTGGGCTACCCGAGCAAGATGTTCTAGAACAATGGCCATTGCTTTACCAAAAGATGCAGAAGTGGGAGAAAAGAGAATTAAATCCAGACCTAACTCGCCCCTTTCCAAACAGCCGATCGATTAAGGGGGGCATTTTAAACAGGCATGCCTGAGCAGAGAGCTGCATACATGACTAGGCGAGATTCAAGCAGCACCCAGTTTTATTAACTGCAGCCCAGTGTTTCTCAACCTTGGCAGGTCTAAAAATATGGAAAATGACAAACACCACTACATCACTC